CCTGCCAGATTATGCACCCCCTAGTATTGGTAGGTTTAGGAGTAGGTGTGGGGGAGGGATTAGGATTAGGGGTGGGGTTGGGATTAGGCAATCAGGTAGTGACTTCAACGAGGGGGTGCATAATCTGGCAGGGGTGCAGAATTCGGCACAACACCGGACTGGACAAATAGTTGTCTGTCACGTCATACAGTGCCAGAGAGAGAGCCGCTCTGCTATGCTGCACAAACGCGTGTCTACCGTGTGTTACGTGTTTTATGTGTGTTCGGAACCGGTGTAGTGCCGAAATTTGCACCCTGCCAGATTATGCACCCCCTAGTATTGGTAGGTTTAGGAGTAGGTGTGGGGGAGGGATTAGGATTAGGGGTGGGGTTGGGATTAGGCAATCAGGTAGTGACTTCAACGAGGGGGTGCATAATCTGGCAGGGGTGCAGAATTCGGCACAACACCGGACTGGACAAATAGTTGTCTGTCACGTCATACAGTGCCAGAGAGAGAGCCGCTCTGCTATGCTGCACAAACGCGTGTCTACCGTGTGTTACGTGTTTTATGTGTGTTTTTTTCGGTAATTTACAGTGATGGAGAAATAAAATGCGTGTCATCTGAACGTTTTAGATCTAGGCCTGTCACGATAACAACTTTTTGTTGTGCGATATATTGCGCCAGAAATTATTGCGATAAGCGATATTATTGTCATTTTAAAGACCATTTTATGCCACTGAATATATAATCATAATGTAACAGCATAATGATGCAAGAAGGCCTACACACTTCCAAATGACAACAGAAAAATGCTCAAATAATTTATAATTTATTTTTCTGTACCTTCCGGACCTTCTTTTCTGTAAATTAAGGGTGCACACTATTGCTGAAAAACACAATCACAGGCACAGATATCTAAACAAGGTCATATCTGCATATGAAACTTTTTTTGTAGAAGCATTTTTTTAATTTGAACTAGCACCTCATGACTACACGTTATGTTCGAGAAGCTGCAAAAAGACACAGGCGCAAGTGGAATGTACAAAACATGGTGACATTAATTTTTAAGTAAATATAATGGGCGATAGGCTATATTGCGTCACCAAAAATTATCGCGGTCATGTACATATATTGCGCGATAAGTCGATATATTGATTATTGCGACAGGCCTATTTAGATCCCGTCAGTTTTGTGTTCTGCGCGCGATTCAAATGGTCCGCTCTCCACCAAAATTTAAAAACTGCTGTTGGTTAATGAAGATTTGACAAAAGAACTCGCGGCTCGACTGGACTAGAAAGTGATACGACTTTCAGTTTTATGCACGTCGCCATCTTTGATTTTACTTTGGTCACTGTCGCTTTGGCTACTAGTACGGAATACGAGCTTGACTCCCGTTACACTCATACAGACAGTATTTTAAACACAACTGTAAGCTGCTGTGTGAACGTGACACTTCGAGACTCGCACCTGTAAAGATAATGCGGTTGTCAATCCCAAAAATTGACAGTGTGAACCTAGCCTATGTTTCTGTATTTGTTTTTGACTACTCAAGGTTTTCAGTTGAGCACCTGTCAGAAGTTGGAGATTTCATCCAGATTCTTGGTGAATCTAAAATCTTGAGAGCACTGAAGTAATTTTACTTTTATTACAGCCACACAGAATATAAAACCAGTCTTTGCCATTTCCAATATAATATATTTACATAATGTTATCTGTTATTCCTACTTTGTAGAGTTCAAGAGGATGAATACAGTGCTGAGAGTCCCAGATGGTCACTTGACTTGTCAGTCACTCATGGAGATGTCTTGTAAGAAACTATTGCACATAAACTGTAATCCTTCTAATCAAGAACAATTTATAGAATAATTATATAGTCTTATAAAAATATTAAATGTATGTTTTCAAACACAGTGTACAGTGCTGTTATCAAATGTTTCTGTGTTTCTGTTTATTTCAGGTTGACTTTGAGCTCCTCAGAGAAGAATCCATCATTTCCAGCAGTCTTAAACATCACTCTTACATCTCCACAATCAGAGATATCCAGCACTGACTGGACACTTTTCTTACAGAGACTCAGCAAGGCAGCAAAAGTAGCAGAAGTGTAAGGAAATATAGTGATTTTACCATTAACTCTATTTATCTCATTAGTAAATTTGCTGTTATTCAAATGCATTGTGGTCAAATATATTTTTTCAAGCAGCTCGTCAGCTCTTGATGAGTGTGTCAGTTTGCTGCTGTCTTCATTTCACTCTATGGGTTTGAAGACGTTGGATCTGAAGCTGTTCATTCTGAATAAGAGCTGGGCTTCTGGGATAATTTCTCTCGTTCAAACCTGCACCAGTCTACAGCAGCTCAGGTAAGAGAATTTGTTTGTGAGAGTGATGATTGACAGAACAGAATATTAATTACAGGATAAAGTATCCCCACAAATCTAAATGCAGCCAATCCACATTATAGATTTGTTCATCATGAATAATACTTTAAACTCTCTGTCTCTGTTCTGCAAGCTGATTGAAAACTAAATTTGAATAAATTAAATGGTTTGATCTGAAAGCATTGTTCTTGTACAAAAACGTATATTGCTTAATCACTATTTGTGTAACTTCAATATTGTAGTGTCAGTGTCACTGGATTGCTTTTGGAGGAGGGACTCGTGTTACTGAAGAAATCACTGACAGATCCACACTGCACTGTGATTGTTAAAGGGTTTGTGTGCTTAATAGCTGTGCATTTGTCCAATGATAAACAGTTTTAGAAAGCTCATTGTATTCCGTTTTAGTAACAAAACAAATGAATTGGTTATACAATGTGTAAATAATAGAGTATAAAATCCTCAATTCTACCATTACTGACAACTGATCTCATTTCTGAAATGTTTTTCCATTTAGTTGGTATGCACTGTAGCTTATTAAATTGGACATTTTAAAATTAGTTTGTAAAAATTACTTTGTCTTTCTCAAGGTGGAAGTGCAGTAAACCCACTGACCAGTGGTACAGTGTTCTCTAGTCTTACAATATCTGACTCTGAACCATCTGGACTGAATCTTCAGCCGCTCCCAGTGTGTCAGTCTTGTGTTCACATTGTTGACTCTGATCAGTGGGTTCAGGTGGAGCCGTCAGTCTGTACAGATGAAGGAGGCTCAGAGTTCAGGATCAGCACTCCGGCGGGTCGATTCGAGTGCAGCAGGACCAGAATGCGATGGGTCTGTGCTGGTGACGTCACTCTCCAGTACCGTGCAGGGGATGGACGTTCCCTCAGAGCAGATCTGGAGGGACTTCAGTGTGAGCGAATTGGTCCTGTGATTGATGTGACCGTGATCTCAGGGAAACTGGAGGAGGCCCATCTGCCTCATTACGCCTGTTTAGCAGAGTCAGACCCCTCTCTCACAGAAAGCGTAAAGGTCCTCAATGTTGAAGATGATGGATTAACCTTTGAATCAGTGGAGTTGACTCGTTTTCATGCCAAAATACTCCAACCATCTTTTTCTCCTAAAACAGTTCTTATGAAACTAGGGATACCAGTGAAAGTGCACTGCGATCTATTTATCTTCATGACACACAAAGATCCCATCATTCTCCATGTGTATTTTTTACCAATAGATTCACTTTTTGAAGAAAAAATTAAAATAGTGGAAAAATCGAGTCATCAAATCAATCTTTCAAGACCTGAAACCCCATTACAGATGAATAAACAACACAGTCTTGAGGTTTCTGGTGCTTCTGTCCAACCCGAAGCGATCAAACTAAGAGGAGACATCAAGCCAAACTTCTTTGAGGTCATACATCCTGTGGTCGATGAAATCAAAATGACTCTTAGCCGAGTGGATGATCAGAAATCAGTATGCACCTCAAAAATTTGCAAAGCTTTGTTTGGATCCATGCTGCTTAATTCTGAATTTAATTGGTTTCCCACAAGTGGCTGTCAACTTTGATAAAGTTCAGTTTTTTGATAGAAACTGGCATGCTTTTATTAAAAGTGTTAAGAATGTGAATAACATCGCAGACAACCTGCTTCAGAAGCAAATCATTGATGAAGAATTATATTCTGAAATCACATATCCTAATTCAACCAGTGAAGCCAGCATGAGGAAGATCTGCAGCATAGTGCGTAAAGGTAGTGACACTGTGAAAGAAATGTTCATCTCCATTCTTCTGGAAGAAGATCCTGACCTTTTAAATCATCTGCCTTTACCTGACTCTTAAACTTTTTTGCTTGATGATTCTACATTGTATTTTACATGATTTGAGAAATGATGTAAACTACAAGTGACCAATGCACTGGACAGCTCACCCTACTATACTTTTGAATAACAGTATTTTAGTTACTGTTGGAATTAAAGAACATTCAAATGCTCTGCTTGCCTGTAAAAATGAGTTTCAAACAACAGACTGTTGCAAAACATTTTCTTGTCTGATAAGGACACTGAACAAGGTGAATGTGAAATATTTCTGTACAGGTTTTATTTCTACACAGTTGTGTTGTAAATGTTACTGTATCAACCACTTTTTTTATAATCTGAAATGTGACTACAAAAAAATAATAGAGATATTTTTGTCACAACTACATATACTAACTGGAAGGTAACTAGTGGCAGTAACAATGTTATTTAAATAAATACAAATAAACCTGGAGTTTTGTATCAAAAGATACATTTGTGTGAGTCATTGACGTGATCATAATCAAAACAATACATCCTAAACTAAAACAACCTTTGAAATCCTTACAAATGCGAATGTACAAGAGCTTAAATCCAGTAAAAAATTAAAATGTGTTATTTACAAAGACATTTTCCCCAGAGTTGCTAAGTACAGCTGTACACAAAAAGCAGACAGGACACAGTTCACACAGATGGCATGTTACTCGACCATCATTGTGTTTGTATTGCCAGCGTGAGGTTTGTAACACTCATGTGCATGAAAAAGAGCTCATTTCTGAATATGTTCAGAGAAGTGTACGTTAGTTCAGCGGCAGGAGGGCAGTGTGACTCTCTGCTCATCCATCCTCTTGGCCTGTGAGCGCATGATGAGGCTGAAGAAGTCTTCATCCGGGACGGTGGGGCCACGGGAGGAGGGCGGAGGAGGGGCGCACCTCTGATCATCCAGACGGGACCCCTGAAAGAGACAGAAAAATTAGATGAATGGCTTTAAATGAATGCAATTCCTTTCCTACAGCTGCTATTTTGCACTCGTTTTCTACTCTGGTTAATTCAAACATGTTCTCACCTGACACTTGACGAGCATGTCGAAGAACTGGTCATCGGGTTCGGTGGCGTCTGTGCTGGCCATGACCTGGCTGAGGATCATCTGTCTGCTGCTAGTGCTGCTGTGTTCGGATAGGGTGCACAGGCCGGGCAGACTGTTTCCTGTTCCTGCCCTCTGCTCGTCCAGCCTCCTGCCCTGAGCGCTGGCCAGCAGTCTGAGGAACGGCTCCTGACCTGGAGATGCAGCCGACTCTGAGAAAGCTGGATAGACAGACACACGTTCAGCTACATGTGTGATATTCACGTCATTTTAAATGCTACTTGTTCGAACATTTAAAGACAAATTCAATTAATAACGTGAAAGAAGACTAACATTTCCTGATGGTTCTGGGTGGGGTGGTGGGTGGGGAGGCGGAGCTAGAATTGACAGACAGGTGGCTCCTCCCATCCTGTACGACACAACGCTGGTCATCCATCCTGTTGCTCTGGAAACGACTCAGCAAGTCAAAGAAGCCCTCGTCTCCTAACACGTCAGTACTCCCATGCTGGGAGCAAAGAGGTCAAAGGTTAAAACTAATGCCCTCTGAAGAACTGAGAACACATACACAATTTTGCAACCAGTATTTTCAATTTATGAACTGCTCAGACTTTAAAGGGGAAGACGTTTCAGATGTGAAGCAAGTTATTACATTTTGATGAAAGATTACAAAAACATATTTTTTCTTTAGAATAATATGGACTCATGAATCTTTCTCAGATCAGGAATCTCAACTAATAAATATAGTATTTTTTGACTTCGTATTCTATGGGTTTTAGTAAACATTAGGGATGCACGATATTGGATTTTGCCGATATCTGATATGCCTATAACTTTCAACTCATTTTGGCCGATAGCCGATATATAATTATTTTAAATTTTTGTTCGTTTTTTAACAAGAACTTATTTGTTAGAATTAAACAAACAATAATAAAGTTCTTTTATAATGACAGTACATTGAAGATTTGAAAATAACTATAAATAAACTATATATAAATCATTGCATTTTTTTTCCCAGAAAGATACATTGGCAACCTTAACATTTTATTTTATGATTTAATATTTGTAAATTGTCTAAAGCAAAAGAGTTGCAAAAATTCTAAAAATTTTTAGAGCTCATAATTTGCTTTAATTTTATTAGAAGTAGGCCAACAACGCCCCCTACGGAATTAAAACTCCTTACTGAGCAGGCTTTAGGACCCGGAGCCGCTGCACGTGCTATTACTGTTTACTCTATCATACACCGAA